AGTGTACCACAGTTTTCTGATCCATTCATTTACTGATGAGCACTTAGGTTGCTTCCAGCACTTGGCTATTGTAAATTGTGCTGCTGTGAATATTGCGGTGCATAGGTTCTTTTGGATTGGTGTTTCAGGGTTCTTAGGATATAATCCCATGTCACTGCTCATTTTTAACTTCAAGCTCAGTGTTGGCCTAGTAACACCGAAGAGAGGCCACCTTCACCAGGTTGCCAGAGTAATGAGCAAGAAAATTAACTTCAATTTGCTCTTAAAGAAGAAGAAATGGTTTTATTAACACATTCCCTACAACACAAGTGATTAACAATCAAATAATCACAAAAGCAATTACTCTTCCACAGGTGGGGTTATTTTGATATTAGACAAAAACTACTGGCTTGATTCTCTCCTTCTTTCCCCAGTAGGCATGATTTTTGTATTTTTTTATTGGTCCTCAGTAAACAAAAGGTTCTCCAAAATTTTTTGATTGACTTGCCTAGAACATTTTTTATCCTAAAAGAGTTTTTGTCTCACAAAGATCCCCAAATAACAATGGAGAACTGCAGGAAGAGGACTGTGTGCACTGACGAGTGCAGCTGGTGCAGGAACAGGCAGAATGGGAAAGGTCCCCTGTGTCTGCAGAACAAGCACAGATCAGATCATGTCAGAGTGAGGGGCAGACTGTGGGAGCTGATTCAAGAGAGACAAGTTTGAAAAGAGATTTAGGAAGGTCTGGCTTCTAAACCTAAAGAATTTCATGTTATTTGCTACCCAGTAAGAAGAAGTACACATTTATAAGGTTTATAAGCACAGGTTACTGCTCCAGGAGGTGCCCCTGCCATCAGCTCTGAGGCACATGGGCTCACTGCTCCTTTGGGGTCCACTCTGGCCTCCCTGCAGAAACCTACCCCAGGGAGTTTTGGGTTATTTTCTTCCTCCAATGTTTACTGGGTGACTTCCATGCAGGGGCCATGGGCTGTTGCCATGTTCTCCCCTCTTTGTCAGCATTCAGGTCCCTGATGAGGCCTCTTGGGACATCCTCCAGTGTAATACTCACTCTCTGCTCACAGCTTTAGAGGGTCCTTTCTTTGTTCTGGGATCTGGGACCCCCTTGGGCATGCATCTAGTTGCTCTCACATCCTCTTATTTGTCTCTTTGGGAAGCACTCATTCTCCTTGACTTAACCAAGCTGAAACCTACTCATTGGTTCACAGGCCTGCACTCAGTCCACTGAGCCACACCAGCCTCAAAACTTACTCTTATCCAGCCATATTTTTTAAGCTTTTGGGTTTTTTCTATTTCTGTACATGCGAACTGCTATAGAATCTTATTTTTCTCCCAGGGAAATTCCTCTGTTACTTCTTTACAGTTTGAGTAGTTCAACAAACACATTTCAAAGTAAATAACACTGTATGTTAATATATGCTCTCCTGGTTGGCCGAATTATTTTTCACATGAGCAACAACTTCATAATATTTCTTCAGCTTTTTTAAAATTTAATTTTCATTTTTGATTTTTAGGGAGAGGGGAAGAGAGGAAGAGAAACATTGATTGGCTGCCTTCAGTAGGTGCCCTGGTCCAGAATAGAATCAGCAACTTTTTTTTTTGTGCCAAGGTACACAACCAATTGAGCCACACTGGCCAGGGATCTGCAATTTCTTTGTCTTGACATTCAACTGTCTCCTTTCTGTGTGGGGTCCTTTTTTCTGTCCCAAGGATGAAAAGAAACTTTTACCACCAGCATTTGAACCCACTGAGCACTGAGTGACCCAAGGGCTGGAAATTCTTACACATGTGATTTGAAATGATGTCCTATTCTTGATGGAGTTCTCTGATTGCTTGTGGAGTGGTCAGCACTGTGGTAGAAAGTCCACTTTTTTCCTGGTCAGCAAAGTCAGGCAACCAGGCTTTCTGTGGTGAAGGAGGATAATCTCAGAAAAAAAGAACATCACAAAGAAACCTTAAGTTTTGTGTATAAACTCTCCCCACGTCTCCCAACCTGTGTTTGAGCTCCAAACACACTGGCAAGCTAAAGGCGGGAAAGGCGAAGCTCCAAACACCAGCTTTCTTCCTGATGTCATCTGGTTCTTGGCATAGGTGGGTCTGATGTTTTTTCAGGATCAAAAAGCTTTGCTTTCTGCACAGAAGCCTCCTGATCCCACAGAAACCACTGCTGTTCACTGAGTGGGGTATGTGCTCGGCTTTTTCTGGCCCCACAGGATGTTCTCCTTCCCTTTGTCCAGGCAAGCCCCAGGGTGAGAGTGCTGCCAAGAATGCTGGCAGCTGTGGATTTCCCAGCCTGCTGATTGCTATCTGCCTCTTACTCACATGGTGATCTTGGTGACTCTAAGCTGACTCAGATAAACACAGGAACATTTATGCCAACACCCAGCTTAATGGGGGCCCAGTCTACCTGCTGCTGAGGGACAGAGGAGAGAGGTGGAGACCACTGGAAAAGGCTGGTGTTGTCTGTATCAGACCCTGTCTGGGGCCCATGAACCATGGAGGCCAGGAGCAGAGGACAACCGTGCCCAGCAGAGGCTGAGCTTACGGATTTTTCTACTTACAATGACCAGTGAGGTAGGGACGTATGGAGGGAGAGAGACTGTCCCCTTTGCCCTGCTGTGTGTGTGCAGCATTTGAGACACACTGAGACCCTGCACTCTGGGAAAAATATGTCCTCACCAGTGTATGGAATCTGTCCAGATTGATTTTTGCCCCTTTGGAAAAAGGAAAAACAGAGATGAAGAGAGGGTAGAACTTTCCCCTGTATCTTAAAATATTTTTTTGGATTTTTTAAAAAATTTATTGATTATGCCATTACATTTGTTCTATTTCACCCCTTCATTCCCCTCCACCATGCACACCCCCCTTCACCATTCCCCCCCTTTAGTTCATGAACACATGTCTCAAGTTATTTAGATTCTATATTTCCCCTACTATTCTTACCCTCCCCCTATCTATTTTCTATCTACTGTCTATGCTACTTATTTTCTGTACCTTCTCCCCCCTTCTCCTCCTCCCACTCCCCTGTTGCTAACCCTCCACGTGATCTTCATTTCTATGGTTCACTCCTGATATAGCTGTCCTCTCAATTTGCTTTTTTTTTAGGTGTGGTTGTTGATAACTGTGAGTTTGCTGTCCTTTCACTGTTCATCTTTTTTATCTTCTTTTTCTTAGGTAAGTCCCTTTAACATTTCATATAATAAGGGCTTAGTGATGATGAACTCCTTGAATTTGATCTTATCTGAGAAGCACTTTATCTGTCCTTCCATTCTAAATGAAGGCTTTGCTGGATAGAGCAATCTTGGTTGTAAATCTTTGGTTTTCATGACTTGGAATACCTCTTTCCAGCCCCTTCTTGCCTGTAAGGTCTCTTTTGAGAAATCAGCTGACAGTCTGATGGGAACTCCTTTGTAGGTGACTGTCCCCTTAGCTCTTGCTGCTTCTAGGATTCTCTCCTTCATTTTAATCTTGGCTAATGTAATGATGATGTGCCTTGGTGTGTTCCTTCTTGGGTCCAACTTCTTTGGGACTCTCTGAGCTTCCTGAATTTCCTGGAAGTCTATTTCCTCTGCCAGAATGGAGAAGTTCTTTTTTATTATTTGTTCAAATAAGGTTTCCACTTGTGACTGTTCCTCTTCCCCTTCTGGTACCCCTATAATTTGGATGTTGGAGCATTTAAAGATGTCCTCGAGGTTCCTAAGTCTCTCCTCATTTTTTTGAATTCTTGTTTCTTCATATTTTTCTGTTTGGTCGTATTTTCCTTCTTTCTGGTCTACTCCCTTGATTTGAGTCCCAGTTTCCTTTCCATTACTATTGGTTTCCTGTGCATTTCCATTCATTTCAATTAGTGTAGCCTTCATATGTTCCTCTAATTTGTGACTAAAATCAACCAGTTCTGTGAGCATCCTGATCACCAGTGTTTTGAACTGTGCATCTGAAAGTTTGGCTATTTCTTCATCGCTTAGATTTATTGGCTCTGGGGCTCTGAGTTGTTCTTGAGCCATGTTTTGATCTGTTTGTGCCTGTTACATATGAGGAGAGGCGCCTTAGTTGTTTACCAGGGCGGGGGCACCCAGGTGGCTGGTTTGTGAAGCTCTATGTGGGGGTAGGGTCAGAGAGGGAGCACTGGCAGTCCTCTCCGCTGGCCAGGTCTGCCTCACTTCTTGCTCCTGCCTGTTTATCTGAGCGCAAATGTGCGAACCCGCTGCCCTGCTCCGAGGCCTGCACAGTCTGTCTCAAAGCACGTCTCTTCACTGGTTTATTTGTGTGCAAATGCGCTACCTCAGACAGACAGCCTCGCCTCACCTTCCCATAGCTACCCCACACCTGGGATCTGTGGGCCACCCGGGTTGCGGGGGATGGTTTTTGCCCAACCCAGTCCACTGCTGGCTTCACCCCTCTCACCAGTTTAGCTGAGCGGTTTGTTGTTTTCGGACTTTGTATCGTTCAATTTTCTGTGATTTGGTGTGTTTTATTGTTGTTAAAACTTTGTTGTTTTTAGATTTGGTTGTGTGAGGAAGCAAAGTGTTTCCACCTACGCCTCCATCTTGGCGGAAGTCTTTTGTATCTTAAATTTAATTGGGCAAGAATCCCTAGTCCCAGCCGGAGGAAGCTGGACTCCCAGAACAAACGTGGAAACCATCACCCTAAGAATGGTGCTTCTCCAGCCCTGTGTCTGAACATGGAGACTTAACTCTGTTCCTCTGTACCCTCTTAGAAAGTTGCAGCAGCTGAGGACAGGGCAATTCACAGATGTTTTTGGTGTCTTTGCACAAACAAGGGAACTCCTGAGGACTTGGTTCTCTTCTCCTTGGAGGTCCCCCTCCCCTGGCCTCCAGGTTCTGACTGACCCTTCTTGGCCTCTGTTCCTGCGGACACATGTCCTGATGGCAGAGAACCACAGTAGGGCTATAGAAGGGAGCAGGCAGTGTTTCACAACACTTAGAATGTTACTTTCACTCCTCTTTTCCCCATTTGGGTGGAGCTTTCTTGGCTGAGTCAATTCACACACTTCCTGCTCAGGGTTGGACAGCCACACTGAAACCAGGCTGGGGACACTGGAGGTCTTGGCAGAGCCCGGAGAATTGCCATGGCCAGTGGGGGCAGAGACCTCAGCAGCAGGTCAGTCTTTATCTTCCTTTCTTTAACTTTCTCTCTGGCTGTGCTACTGCTTTAGTGCTTCTCATTCGTCTAAACCTGGACCTTCCTCCAACTTTATAAGTACACTCATGTGCAGAAGCACATGATGAGGACATTGGATCTTTAAACTGCAGAGGGACAGCCACTGGTGTGAGTGTAGCTGCCACAGCCCCCAGGACTCTTGTCTTATACCTACTGCTCCACTGACTGCCCATCCATACTCAGCTGTCCATTTTGACTTTGAGGCAGCTATTTGTTATTTTCTCATGACCTCTGAGACCTCTCATTTCCTTCTGACCCTTCCACCTTCACCTAGGTACTTTAGAAAATATACAATTCTGGTTAAACATCTGACTTTGGGTACCTTGGTCTCTTACCTGACCTGGGGATAGGTCAGCACCAGGCCTATTTTCACCTCTGACTGGGAGTCTGGTTCTTCCTCCAGGAATCTTGATCTAAGGTAGTCAAAGGAAGAGGAAGAACCAAAATGCCAAAGACCAGTGCAAGCTGAGTGTTTCATTTGTACCTTCATTTTCTGCTCTGGATGGATTCTACTTCTGATAAGAAAAAAGCTAGAAATTCTATCTTTCTTTACTAATGGGTCAGAAATAACATTACTTAATATGTTTAATCGTTCAATTTTTTTAATACAAAAAGTACATTATACATTGTTGGTCATAAAAATGTCAAATGACATGGATGTATATAGAGGGAATAAGTCCCATTCACCGCCCACCCCCTGTAACTTCCCCCTGGGCCTGCTGAGTGTTGTGGATACAGCCTTTTATGTCTCTTTTATGTGTTTACACATGACTTGTTTTCCTAAATGCGTAATCTCTGTCTTGCATTTTTTAAATGAATGAGATTATATTGTATACACTGTTCTGAATTTTACATTTTTATTATTAATATTGAAATTATTAGAGGTTTTTTACATTAATAAACATGGATCTACCTCATTCTTTTTAAAAATATATTTTATGGGTTATATTATTATAATTATCCCATTTTCTCCCTTTTATTCCAATCTGCTCTGAAACCCCTCTCTTACCATCATTCCCCCACTTAGTTCATGTTCATGGATCATGGATGTAAGTTCTTTGGCTTCTCCATTTCCTATATTAGTTTTAACTTCCCCTTGTCTATTTTGTACTTACCATTTATGCTTCTAGTATTTTTTAAAAGATTTTATTTATTTATCTTTCGAGGGGAAGGTAAGGAGAGAGGGAGAGAAACAATGCATGGTTGCCTTTCGTGTGTCCTCTGCTGGGAACTGGCCTGCAACCCAGATATGTGCCCTGACTGGGAATCGAGCCATGATCGTGTGGTTTGCAGGCCCGCGCTCAATCCACTGAGCTACACCAGCCAGGGCCATTTATGCTTCTTATTCCCTGTACTTTTTCTCCAATTCTCCCCACACCCTGTGCTGATAACCCTCCATGTGATCTCGATTTCTGTGATTCTGCTTCTATTCTAGTTTGCTTAGTTAGTTTTTTTTAATAATGGATCTATCTCATTCTTATTAAAGCTGCAAACTATTCCACAGAGTCAATAGTCCATTGTTTTTAAATTATATTCCATTTAAACCATTTATATTGTTTTCAGTTGTTTGCTGTTACCAAAAAACTGCATTAATAGCCATTATTTATTTTTCATGCTTTGCTTATAGGTATTTGTCTTGTGTCAGGAACTAAAAGTTATAATTGTTGAGGGGAAGGGTCCTAAATTTAAGTATTTGTAGAACCTTCAAATTGCCTTCCTAGTGTATGAACCACTATATTCTCCTACTACAGCCATCTCTCCATACCCAGACTTCACAAAGGAGCTGGATAAAGGGATGCAGCCTGTTAATTTGTATTCTCTGATTGCACGGGAGGTTAAACAGGTTTTCATGTGTTTTGGCCTTTTAAATTGCCTCTTCTATGAACTGCTGGTTTCTTTTTGGCCAGTGTAATCAGTTGAGGTGATTGTCCTTACTTTAATGATAAGGGAGAGTTTGCTACATACTTTGGACTTTATATATATGCGCTTTCTTGTCTTTTAATTTTTATGGCAACTTCTATTTTGTTAAAGTTTTCAAATTAGAGTAAAAACTTATAATATTGATTTTATAAGATAGGTACATACTCGTTATCACAAATAAATAAAAGCTATGCTGAAAGTTACTGGTGAATTCCACATACACTGTCTTTAACCAGAGTTCTTGTTTAGTGAGGGGACAGAGTCCATTCTACCTTTGTATCAGGAAAAGTTTCTTCTCTAATATCTACAAAATGTATTTTTTAAATTTGGGGGTAAAACTCTCCTTCCATGGGCACAACTTTAGCCTTCACAGCTTTATTTGTTCCCTAATAAATCATCTCTTTAGCTTTTTACTTTTTGTTTACAATGGTTGTCTCAAATTTTCTTCTATACCAACTACTTAATTTTTAGTAGCTCTTGTGGTTTTTTGTTACTACTAATTTTTTGAAATGCTGAGTCCATGAGTTTCTTCATCTCCCAACCATAGCCCTCTGTTTGTGTAAAGTCTAGGAAATCAGTCCCCAGCTGTGGCCAGAGTTGAGGTATGTTTTCCTGAGACAAAGTGACTGCCCAGCTTTCTGCTCCCTCTGTGTTCTCTGGGCCTTATCATAACTGCCATGGCCAGCTCCAAATGGTGAGCATTCAGGCAATTCTGCTCTACTTTTCAGAGATGTTTGACATGGTTTCTTTAGCTTCTTGGCCTGAAACTTTACCGTGTATCCTGAGGGGGAATCTGACTATGTGTTGGGACCCCTCACTCCAGCCCTGCCTGACCCTTTACAAGTTCTCCTTCCTTCTTGCTCCCAGCAGAACTCCTTGTCAGTGGCCAAGCCCAGATTCTCATTCTCTGCTCTGGCACTAGTTGTTTTTGGTGTTTTTTCCCCATCTTTCAGTGGTGTTTTGAAGCACAAAGGATTAAATATTTTTATTAGTTTATCAGCTTTTTTCTTTTATGGATCAAGCTTTTGGTGTGACAGCTACCTTTCTGTCTATAACCCAAAGTCACAAATATTTTCTCCTGGATGTTTTTTAAAAAGCGATCTCATTTTCACTTTTATGCAGCACTGGCTACTACAATTCATGCTCACACCATCAATTCCTGTCCACTTCTCTGAATCTTCTCCCATGCTGCATTGTCACTTATGAAATTGTATTTCTAACCTACTGGGTGACAAACACTTTCCCATTGATGTTTTAGTTTATATGCATTCATATATTTATTGGACATTTAAATTTTATTTTCTCTAAGTGACTGTTCAGGTCCATTTTCTTTGGCATTATATGTCACATTTTTTTCAATGGGCTGTAGTCTTTGTGCATTAGATATAGTAACCCTTAGGTCTATGTGTTGAGAATGTTTTTCTATATTCTTTTACTATCTTACCAAATTTTTAACATTTATACATATTAAGTCTTCTCTACTAATTTCTTTTTATATTTTGCTTGGCTCAGGTATTTTTTGTCATATATATTTGTAATTTCTTTATCCAGATAAATGGGATTACAAATTGCAAGTGCATCGCATTTTCATAATAATTTCAGAAGGATTGACATTTTAAAGTTGCTATGTTTTCCTAATTGGAGGCACCTTCTACATCCCCATTTGCTTAAATATTTTTAAATTTCTTTCAATAACACATCATAGCTTCTTTCATATAGGTTCATAACTTCTAAATGTTTGTACACATATGCATATGTATTTACTTTTGAGTTTGAAGTATTATTTCATTTCTTTTCAGTATATGTTGTAACAGTTAAAATGTTTGTTTCTGTACCTTTTAAAATTTATGCTGCTTGGAAAAATCTTTTTCTAGTTCTTTGTGACTCAATTTAGGTTTCTATAATTTCTTCACATATAATTATATGTCATATAATATATCTTATTTTAGCATTTATATCAATGACTTCACTTTTTTATCTTATTGCATTAGCTAAAACATTAATGAGGGGGGACCCAAAATAATCTGGGATTATCTTCTGGAGGGTGGATACCCGTTATAGTACAGGCTTCTCCCACAGGTGAGTGTTCTAGGAACCCATCTGCATCAGTGTACCAGTTGGTGGTGTGAGAGGCTGTGTTGGGCTTCAATGAGCTTTTTTTGAAGACTTTTTCAACCCATCTGTCCATTTCTTAATGGGTGATTTATAAGTACACCTGCCCACACTGCGCTGAGTGTTCAGGAGTTTAGACCAAAACTGACATGATCCACATGTCCCACCCTCCCTACTCACCCCTGGTGTCCCCTGATGAAAAAAGTCCTCAGAGGAAAACATTTTGCCAGTGTGGAAGTGGTGAAACAAAAAATAGCAGAAGCACTTAAAGACATAAAAATTGATGAGTTCAAAAACTGTTTTTGAGCAGTGCAAAAAAATCTTGATATGTGTATTGCATCAAATGAAGATTACTTGGAAAGTGACTGAATATCAACATGTAAGAACAAATCACTATTTTTATCAATAAATTCAATTTTGGGAGCTTTCTTCCTCATATATGTAAATTGTAGTAATGATTTGCTTGTGTTATTTTATTTGAATGGTCTCATCATTTTATTGCAGTATTTGATGATTTTAGAGACTGTATATTGTGGTAGCTTCTTCTACTCCATACGTTTTTTTAAAAATAGCTGCTAGATGTTTCCAAATTTCCTTCTTAAGTAATTTATGAATATAACTAACACTTTTTATGCTTTTGTTCTTGTTGCAATAAAATTACACAAGGAGATTTTCTAATATTTAACCATCTTTACTCAATCTCATTTGACTATTTCCCTCTTTCTTCTTTTTTCACAATAGCTTCTAACAGTGAGATCTATTTCCTGTGATGATGATGAGTATGTGTATTTAGTGTTGTGAAATGGAATATTCCATAAATGTCAAATAGATCTACTTGATAAACAGAAATGCTCAGATCAAATATACTTCTATTAATTCTCTGCCTGGTAGATCTTCAAATTACTAAAAGAGGGTGTTAAAATCATCACTCTAGTAGTAGACTTATTTGTTTCTACTTGTAGTTCTTTTGATTTTTACTTTATATAATTTGATGGTGTGTGTTAGGTAAGTGCATGTTAAGGGTTGTTAAGTTTCCTTGGAAAACAGACCCCTGTTTCATATGGAATGCCCTCTTGCTCCTTCATAATTCCTCTTGTTCTGAATTTTTATATGTATGGAAATAATATAGCTACTCCATTTACCCTTTTTTAATTTTTTTATTACTGTACAATTACAGTTGTCCCCATTTCCCCCCATTATTCTCCTCTGCCCTACTCACCCCTACCTCCCACATTCAATCTAGTGTTAGCATGGTATCTCTTTCTCCATTTTTAACATGAGTCTTTATATTTAAAGGTTTATTTTATTGACAGTGTAAGTTTTTAAATTTTTTTCAATCACTTTAGTAACTGCTGTTGTTCTTAACTTTATATTTATTGTTGACACTATCAGAGATGTCCCATTTTCCCCTACTTTGCCCACCTCTGTGCACTGCAGAAAAAAAGTATGATGTAGAAAAAGAAAAATCATATAATAACATAATATAATATGAAAAAACATTATGGAAGATGCTGTTAGGATATAGATATAGGGAGATTAAATCATGTGCTTTTGGAGGACCTAGGGAAGAATCCATGCAAACTAATTTGAATGAGTTAGGTAGCAGAGGTGGGGACACTAATGTGAATGGAAAGAAAGGAAAAACATGCTAGGTAGGAAACAAGCCAAAAAGTAAAATAGGGGTTGCAGAAAATTTTAAGAGAATTTGTAAATTTTTATTTTAAAAACTATAAATGTTTATGTATATAAAGTAAATAATGAAAATTAGGGAAAATATCCAGAATGGTTTTTCATAAAGTGTCTGAGCCCCAATGTGTGAGGTTGACCTGATCCACTCTGAGATCTGAAAGCCTGGCTCTACAGCCACTGCTGTGGAAGAGCCATCTCAGCTATGCTCCATCACTCCTCCACAGGGCTCCTGTTTCTAAGTTCTTCTTGGAAGCATTACGTCTTTCTCTTTGTTTTTCAAGTTCTTTTAAAATTCATTTGTGTGAAATAACCAATTTTGTTCTTTCAAAAAATTCTTGTACTCTGTGGTATCTCCTTAAATGATTCCCTTGATGTGCTTCTCATCTCTATTTCCTCTGTTTAGCTGTCTCAACTCCAATTACATGGCTATTAAATTGTGTGTGTTAAGCCTTAGTCTCTTATATTTTCTCTCAAGGTGACTTTTATCTTCCCATTTTAATCTCTCCCTAATTTTGTGTAATATTTCCTCAGTCTTATTGTACAACCATTTACATACTTTTTCACTTCTAAATCATTAAAATATATAAAACCACTATCTCTTTCTATGGCAGTTATATTTCCTTAGCATTAAAGTGTGCAATATAAATCTGATGTCTCTATAAAAATTGTACTTTGGGGAAAATATTTTTCTGTTTCTTACATTATCTATGTTTCTCATAAGATAACTTTTTAAAAAATATTAGTGTTTCATTATTATATTGAAGAATTTTCTCAATGTTTGTAGACTTATGGTTATATGTTCCACTTATGAAAAGACTTCAAAAGTCCATCAATGAGATTCATTGTTAAAAATATAGAAGGAAAACCGTATGAACATCTCAGTGGATAAATTGGATAAAATTCAACATCTGTTTCTGGTAAAACTTTCATAAACTAGCCATAGCCGGAAACTTTCTCAGACTCATTTTATATACACATACAAAATGTACAACAAATCTTATACTTAATAATGATAATAAATTATTTTGAGTTTTTTTGTAAGAATGGACAAAAGAGCAAGGAAGTCTGATCTCATCACTTCTCTTCAAGATTGAAGTAAAAGTCCTAACCACAGTAATAAGACAAGAAAAATAAATTATTGGAAAGCAAAATGTCAAAGGTTTTTATTGTTTGTGTTAATGACAAGACTGTTTTCTATAAACTTCAAAGGAAATCAGTAATACTTCAGGAAGACTCACAGGTGAATTAGAAAAGTTATGGATACATGGTTAATATTTTTAAACCAGTAAAATTTCTATACAATAGTAACAACAGATTAAAATCAATACTATTTAAAGTAACATAAAAAAATAAGTTTAAGGAGCCCTGGCTGGTTTGGCTCAGTGGTTGCATGCTGGCCTGTGAATGAAAGGGTCACTGGTTTGATTCTCAGTCTAGGGCACATGTGGGGTTGTGGGCCAGGTCTCCAGTAAGGGGCATACAAGAGGCAACCACATATTGATGTTTCTCTCACTCTCTTCCTTCCCTTCTCTAAAAAATAAATAAATAAAATCTTTAAAAAGAGAAGTTGAATTTCAAAAAAAAAGAATGACTTTAAGGAAATATGTACTTTATATCCATACAGAAATTTATAAATATTGCCAACTAAAATTAAGGAAAACTTCAAAAATAAAGAGTGTTAATGTGTTAAATTGAAACTCAATGTTGTTAAGATATTAATTTTCAGTAAACTTACCTATATATTAAATGCAAGCCCAATAAATGCACAAAAGATGCTCTTTGCAAAAATTGACAAATTGATTCTAAAGTTATATGAAAATCAGAAGAGCTAGAAAACTCAAGACAATCTTTTTCCAATTGAATTCAATAGTTTCATAAGCTACAGTTATCAAACAAATGTGATATTCACATAAGAATAGACAAATAGATCAATGTTACAGTACAGAAAATCTAGATATGGGCATGTTGGCTTTTGAATATTCTATAAAATTGGGGTAGGCAAAGATTTCTTGGATAGTATGCTGAAGTTATTAATCATAAAAGAAATATCCTGAAAGATTTTTATAGATCATTACTTCTGCCATATAGACTGGTAAAGTGCACATTTGACCAGCATGAAATAACCTCCTGCATTCTTTATTTAAAATTTCTTATTGTTGTTCAATTACAGTTGTCCCCATTTTTCCTCATTACTTTACCCTGACCTACCCACACCCTTCCATTTTCAATCTGTCCCCCCATTGTCTTTGTCCATGGGTTCTTTATACATATTCCTTGACTTGACCCTTCCCCTTTTTTCCCCAATTATCCTCTGCTCCCCTCCCTTCTGGTCACTCTCAGTTTGTTCTTTATTTTCATGTCTCTGGTTCTATTTTGCTCACTTTTTTGTTTTGTTGATTAGGTACCACTTATAGGTGAGATCATATGGTATTTGTCTTTCACCATCTGGCTTATATCACTTACCATAATGTTCTCCAATTCTATTCATGCATTTTTAATAAGAGGAAAGACAAAAGCTTATCCCCTATTTGACATCTTGAACCATAATCTTGGTTTTTTTCTACAGAATTTGATAAAATAATGTGACAATATTATTTCCTAATGCAGGTTGGGTACTGGGAAGATGCAATAATTTTCTTCTGGTGAGAAAAAGAAAAATTATGAGTCTTAATGACTTTTAGGAATACAAAATGTCTAGTAAAACATTAGTCTCAGAGCGTTAAAATGATCAACTAAGAAACAGAATTACATACTCAGGTTTACAACTACTTTCACAAAACAAACAGTAGCAATTTCTGAAGTTCAGATGACTAAACATATTCATGACATATACACCAATAGCACAGACAGGTTTATATTAACTCAAACATAAGTCCTGGAAGAAATGATTGATATTCTTGTGAAATTTTAATGTATGCCTTATCATATCATTATTAAGCCACATCTTATCATTTATGAACTAGTTTTATAATTCAGGATGGCATTTCTCTTAACTCTGTAAGTCAGACAGGGAGTACCTGGTTTTTAACTTTTTGAGATTTATTTTTTAGTTGTTAATTAAGATATATTTTTAAGCTTAAATTCTATTGTTATTCTATTGTCTTATTCCTCTATGGATGACCTGTTTACTCCATCTCAATTTTGTACACATCAAAATATTTTCCAAAAAAAATCTGATATGTTTAGGACAATAAATTTACAATAGCTCTGGTTATGACAGAGCTATTGGAAATTTTTAATTATGAACATCTTTCTAATCCACCATGCTTCACTTTATTATAGCTTTGTTTATTGCTTCAATTTTATGTGTTCTAATCTCTACTCAGGACCATTTATTTTATATAGGATGGTTCTTCACAGCCTATCTTTCATATATAAATTGTTGCAGCATATCAATATTTTGATGACCACTTTATCATGATATCCTTTCTCACTAGGATGTCTGCAGAAGCCCAGAACATAGACAACATCATAGAGGGAGTGGCACTGAGGCTCTTCAAAATGCATAAGGTAGCAATTTCACATGCAATCAGAGAATCATATCCTTTTCTTCAACTTCTGCATGACCATGACTTCATCACCAGAGAAATGTATGATGTAAGTGAGGTTTACTTTTTCACATTGTAGTTAACTAACCATAAACTAAGCTTTGCTTTGATAGTTTGGAATTAAACATCAGAGCACAACGAGACACCTGAGGAGTCTCTTGTGAGTGGGGGCCTTCTCATGTACTGCTGTAAGTGGTCTACAGGGTCAGAAGGGAGAAGAGAAGCATGCATCGTTATTGACAGCCTTGCTCCGGACTGAAGTAACAGTGCTCCATTGTGCCCCCTACAGTTGGGTGAATAGCTGTGGAGATAGGCTAGGTCCACAGATGAATAATGCCTTGTAGGGTTTGTATACATAATATAGTATAAAGTAGGAATTAAAAGCAATTTTAATGAATAGATGAGTAAGTTTAATGGTTTCACTTAATGAAATCATAGTTGACACAACAGTTCTTTCAATAAACAACTATTTTCAATTTAAATACTTTGATGTGAGAACATTAAAATCTCCAGAGATTTAATGTCTTGTGAGGACAAATTTGAAAGTAAATGCTTGCTATTGTTCCTCCAAAAGTTTTCAGTTTCCTTTGCTATTTTTTAACTTTCTATTGGTACTTCTGGAGTCTTGGAATTTAGGTTCATTCCAACAAAATATGTAAGTGGAAATACAAGTTTACTCTTTTTCTATGAATAGGCATACTTTATGGAAAAGTTCACAGGAAGGGAAAATCACCACTTGGCTTCCCTGAGCCCTTTCAGCCTCAGTCACTCCTGTGAAAGAGACAGGGTTGTCCAGTCAATAGAACACCTGCTAAGTTGATTCCTAAAATTTTGGCCAGGCTCTCCAAAGGCTACACCTCATTTAACTGTGAACCCATTTTGTTCTTTAAATTTCTCCTTCTTCCATCTAATGTAAATTAGGATTAGGAAATGGGTTTTCAAGGAGGAAGGATTTAGTTGTTCCACAGCATTGCCATTCAAGTAAATACAAATTCTAAAACTGTGCATGAGAAGATACCAATGCAGGAAAGTTGTAACACATTACAACAAATTCGCTTCCTAGGGCTCATTTGTAACTTGGAAGTCTGTATTTATATTTTTCCCATTCACTGTTTTTTAAGGTGTCTAAAGAAACTTTTGAAAAAGGTCATCACATTGAAGAAGTTGTACACAAAGTTCTCACTGAAGCACAGGAGAAATTTAAACCATCCCTTCTGAAAATACTGTTCGACGAGTTCACCTTGAAAAGAAACCCTGATTTAAATCATATTTATGAAATCTTCAAAGAAGGTAATTAGGTTTATTACCTACTTTTTGATGTCCAGGGCCAATTTCTTCCCACAGGTATATATTGAGCCTCTACCATGTGCCACACACAGTGCTGGGCAGCGGGGATATAACAGTCAGGAAAACAAACGTACTGTGAGCTTCTCAAAGCTTCTAATATAATGGATATAGTATAATGCCCATCTTGGTTCTGCTTAAGGAAGCATTTAGACTCACAGGACAACCAGAGCCACATTGTCATAACATTTACTGAGAAGGACAATTGACAAGAGACACAACATCCCAATAGACAGCATCTGTTGCTACTCTCCTGTGAGACCCTTTGCAGCGGTCCACACAGCAGTCCACCAGGTTGACTACTACCTGCCTTGGGTGACAGCTTAGCTGTGGGTGCAGGATACACCCTGATTTAGCCACACCATGTCCATGCCAGTGAATATCTTGTGTGACAACTCTGTAGTCATAACCTTCCACAACCCCATGAGTAAAGAGCCAACTTGCAAGGGCCACCACATTGGAGAAAGACCAAAAATGGCTTAGAGTTTGCATTTAGTCCCTGCTAGTACACACCCAATTTACCTACCTAGTGTCACTGCTCATTTTTAACTCTAAACTCAGTGTTGGCCTAGTAACACAGAAGAGAGGCCACCTTCACCAGGTTGCCAGAGTAATGAGCAAGAAAATTAACTTCGATTTGCTCTGAAAGAAAAAGAAATGGTTTTATTAACACATTCCCTACAACACATGTGATCAACAGTCAAATAATCACAAAAGCAATTACTCTTCCACAGGTGGGGTTATTTTGATATTAGACAAAAACTACTGGTTTGATTCTCTCCTTCTTTCCCCAGTAGGCATAATTTTTGTATTTTTTTTATTGGTCCTCAGTAAACAAAAGGTTCTTCAAAATTTTTTGATTGACTTGCCTAGAACATTTTTTATCCTAAAAGGGTTTTTGTCTCACAAAGATCCCCAAGTCACCATGGAGAACTGCAGGAAGAGGACTGTGTGCACTGATGAGTGCAGCTGGTGCAGGAACAGGCAGAATGGGAAAGGTCCCGTGTCTGCAGAACAAGCACAGATCAGATCATGTCAGAGTGAGAGGCAGACTGTAGGAGCTGATTCAAGAGAGACAAGTTTGAAAAGAGATTTAGGAAAGTCTGGCTTCTAAACCTAAAGAATTTCATGCTATTTGCTACCCAGTAAGAAGAAGTACACATTTATAAGGTTTATAAGCACAGGTTTACTGCTCCAGGAGGTGCCCCTGCCATCAGCTCTGAGGCACATGGGCTCACTGCTCCTTTGGGGTCCACTCTGGCCTCCCTGCAGAAACCTACCCCAGGGAGTTTTGGGTTATTTTCTTCCTCCAATGTTTACTGGGTGACTTCCATGCAGGGGCCATGGGCTGTTGCCATGTTCTCCCCTCTTTGTCAGCATTCAGGTCCCTGATGAGGCCTCTTGGGACATCCTCCAGTGTAATACTCACTCTCTGCTCACAGCTTCAGAGGGTCCTTTTTTTGTTCTGGGATCTGGGACCCCCTTGGGCATGCATCTAGTTGCTCTCACATCCTCTTATTTGTCTCTTTGGGAAGCACTCATTCTCCTTGACTTAACCAAGCCGAAACCTACTCATTGGTTCACAGGCCTGCACTCAGTCCACTGAGCCACACCAGCCTCAAAACCTACTCTTATCCAGCCAAATTTTTTAAGTTTTTGGGTTTTTTCCATTTCTGTACACGTGAACTGCTATAGAATCTTTATCCTGTCTCATGGAAATTCTTCTGTTTCTTTCTTACAATTTAAACAGCTCAGCAAACACATTTAAAAATGAACAGCATTATTTATGTTTATATATGCTTTCTCAGCCAATGGAATCCTTTTACATGAGCAAAAAGTGACATTTCCACAACAGCTTTTTTTTTTAATTTTTGATTTTTAGAGAGAGTGGAAAGGAGGGAGAAAGAGAGAGAACATCCATGTGACAGAGAAAATCCATTGGTTGCCTTCAATATGCACCCTGGTCAGAAATCGAACCTGCTACCTTTTGGTTTATGGGCCAACCCACAACCAACTGAGCCGCCCTAGCCAGGGCTCCACAATTTCTTTGTTCTGACATTCAAGTGACTCCTTTCTGTGTGGGGAGCACAAATGATTCTTTGTTGGGGGTTCTCTTTTCTGTCCCAGGGAGGAAGGGGGAACTTTACCATCAAGATCAGGACCCACTGAGCACTGAGTGACCCAAGGGCTGGAAATCCTTTAATGTGTAATTGAGGTGATGTGACTATTTTTGATGGCCATCTCTAATTGTCTTCTTCTCTTGCCCTCTCTTCAGAGATACCAGACAAAAAGATTTTTCCAAAAAGCAAAGCAGAAGAAAATGAGATGCATGATATCCAATCAAGCTTTGAACAAGGTGATTGAAACCAGATGAAAATCAATTCCCATCTGCTAAGATGAAAGGAGAAAGGGAGTTGGGCCTTGAGGCCAGAGTGGATTTGGGGAATCAGGGGAGAACTGTTAAGGAGGATGGAGAAGTTAGGGAGGGGTGTTCATGTGAGAGTCTGACCAGGGGCTGATTCCAGAGGAGTAGCTGTGATAAGAGACCATTGACTCAATAACCAATACAAAGGAACAGGAACTCAATGAGCGAGGAAACCAGATTTAATGAGAATGATGACCTGGAAGTCATTTTGATTTAGAAAGACCCTGTAGGAGAATATCAGTGTGAAGCTTTGAAGCATAAGAAACTATGGAGCCAAAGTCAACATTAAATAGCAAACACTTAATGATGGCTGATTAAGGAACTATTATAGATGTTGTTCAAGACCAAGCATATTCAAGGAGATGGGCAATCATATATAAAGAGAAGAGAGGAAGTGGTAAGATGTGGAGGAGGGGATGAGAGTATTTTGAGAGAGAAAAGGAAGGAAAATGAAAGGCAGGAGAAAAGGTTAAAGGACACAATAAAACAACCATAAAATTAATACCTCACTTATTGAACATAGTGTTCACAGATGCCCTTGGGAAGTATTATTACTATTAGCCCATTTGCAAAAAGGAGACTGAAATCTAGAGAGGTCATGTATACAGTTGGATTGGGGTCAAATAGGCCAGATGAACCCAGAGCCTGTGTTTCAAACCCCGTGCACACCACAGTCTCATGCAAAGACAGAAACCTGAGATATAAATAGGGAAATATATGTAGAGAGAAACACAGAGAAAGAAGACCACCAGGAGGTGGAGGATGTGCAGGAGACTCAGATACTACACCTCATGGAAAAGCCAACAGGATAGAGAAACAGACATGCAGAGGCAGGGTTTTTTTTAAGGGACCTAGGAATGAGACAAGACTTTGTAAGAAGTAAGGTAAGGCTACCAGTGAGGGGCATCTTTGGGGATAAAAATAGTTTCATTATGGCAATGAGTGACATGAAAAGCCATCTGCAGGTACTGAGTGGCTCATGAATGATCTCAGTAAGATGGTCTGACTGAGGCCAGGGGTGCAGCTGATGGCAAGAGTCAGGTATGATCCTCCTGGTCCAAATGGGCTCTGTGATACCTGAGGGAGGGGATCTTTAAATCCTGCTTTGTAAAGATTTAAGTGGGACTAGGGGAGAACAGCACAGCCTATACTTCATTTTCTTAAATAAGTTTCTAATTTCTTCCCTGAAGAACTGCTGACTATTTGTATCACAGCCTGCCCTGGAACAGCCCACATCCCTCAGATTACAATGGAGTGGTCCTAGTAACTGTTTTGTGATCAATTGCTCTTTGTGCTCGATGCTGGCATGTGCTGTGGTGTGTGAAGGCAGTTTCTTTTTAGTACTGATTGCCCATAATAGTCATTCTTTGCATCCTCAGTTTCTCTGAGGATTTAGATAACAGAGCCTTCATTCTGCTGGTTGCTGGGAGGGTCTCTCCTTCCATACTCCTTAGATGTACATGCTACCACCTCTTGCCAACCTGGACCTGGACCTATTGCCCATGCACCTGGTTCCACAGTCTCTGCCTCTGTCTCTCTTGACCCTGGCTGCAGCCTTGCTTTGATATCACATCCAGTGGTGGCCAGTACTGCAGTGAGAAGAATGAGATAGGGGTGATGATTGTGTTCCTCTTGGGCCAGGGTCTCTCACCTGTTGGGTTCCTCACACAGGACCATGAACACCATGTACCTCCTATGCAAACCCTCTGGAGCTGCTCTAAACACCCTGGAAGGCATTATTACATGGCTTCCACTGGGATGTGTTATTGAAGAAAAGATGTTCTAAATTAATAATGCATTTTTATTAAAGGAAAACCTTTCAAAATGATTTTGAAAACACTATTATACTTTTAGCTAATTACATTTGGTCAAAAAACTAATATTTAAGCTCTGGCAAAGTGGATCAGTTGATTTAGAGCATTTTCCTGGGCAGCAAAAAGTTGTATGCTCAATCCATCTTCAGTCAGGGCACAAACCTAGGCTGTGGTTTTAATCCTGACTTGGGGCACTTACAGGAGTCAACTGAGTGATCTCTCTCTCTCTCTCTTTTCTGTCTTCATCTCTTTCTCTCTCAGTCCATATCTTTCTCTCTCCCTTTCTCTCTCAAAATCACTAAGCATATACTTGGATGAAGATAAAAATAGTTAACATTTAAGAATATAGTATACTCAACATATACCAACCCATATTCTTAACAGTTTATCCACTAGTGCCACTGGTTGGAACAGGAGGGGCAAGAGGAAGGAACTGTGAGTAGTAATGAGCAGAGAAGGGATTCAATGTGTGTGTATGGGTTGGGGGGTAGAGGAAGCAATGACATTATAACTTATATGATGCCCAGCAAACCGCCAATAAATGTGCCCAAGAGTCTGACCCAGCAGGGACAGTTGACTGTGACATGCACAGGAATGGAAAACTCTGCATCTCATGCTACCTTCCCTCCACCAGAAGAGGAGGCTCCAAGGAACTGTGGATGTGATGCAAAACATGTAGCATGGCACAGGTTCTATGTTAAAATTGTGGGAATTAATTATCAAATCACTTTTACATAAATTACTTTGCTTAGAAAAAGAGCAGTAAATAAAAAAATCAAGCTGAACTGAAAATAATGTTTATCCATTTATAAACTATTGAGCTTGGTTGGAACAAAGTGGGATTATTTTGATGGAATCATTCATGAGCAGAGAGGGTTCACCATGGGGAAGAGGGTGAGCAGGTCCTGGGTGGTTTAGTCAGGGATTAACTCCTTATTATTTACTGCTCTTCTCTGTCCTCTAACTCTGGCCACTGACGCCCGCAGACTTGCTTGCCAGTCTCTTGCTACTATTTACTGTTGGATCCCTAACCTGGGAGACATTAGCAAGAGACTGCAGAGTGGGAACAAGGAAGAAGCCTGGTATTGCCCCATCACTCTCTTGGGGAGTTATTCTGGCAGTAGCTGCATCTCCCATGGCTCTGCCTCCCACCAAGCACAGTAGCCATGGTCCAGCTTCTACCTACATGGTGACCTTGGCATGTGAGCTCACCTTTGGTCCCTTCTATAGCTTTCTGTTGACCCTTCCTTGGGTTGGTGTATTGCACTTGGACTTCTCAGCTCTTCCATTAGTTGTGCAACTAATTCCCTGGATTAAATTCCCTCTGCTCTGAAAGCTTAGAAGGCTTTGCATTTTCCTGTTGGACTTTGATTGATGCAGGGAGCAAATAAAATACTTATGAATAAGAACAAGGTCTAGGTACAGGCCTACATGATAAAGAACTCCCAGAGCAAGTCTGAAACAGAAGAGATAAATGCAAAGTAAATCGGCACAGTAACAACAATGATGCACTAGAAACAAAAATGGAATAAGATAAAGCAGGAAACAGTACAAAGAATATATAACAAAAAATCAGGTAGAGAAGCAGGGTCAGGTCTAGAGAGAAGCAGGGAGACCCTGGGATGCATGAAAGAAGCTCTCAGCACCTTCTTGTGTCCTGGGCACCTGTTTTGCTTCAACATAGACCCTGCTGGGTCTTGTGTACTATGATAAATATGTAGAGAAATACATATAAATACAGAAATATACAGAGGGAAACAAATATCAATAAATAGAAAATTGGAGGGGAGACTCAAAGAGCTTTGTCAAGAATGAGTAAAGAACAGTGAATGAAGAACTGGTACAGAGTGGACTAGGCAGAGAGAGGATTGTCTGATTTAGGTCATGATGAAGAAGGCACTGAGGGTTGTTACTTTTTTTATGTTTGAGGTTTTTTAAAATTGTTTAGCCTGTTAACAGCTCTTTCCACTTTTCTCCCCTTCCCCTCTGTCGCCTAGCTCCACCTTCTTCCCACTCCAAGCCAATCCCCCATTGTTGGCCATGTCCATGGTTTGGGTTGTGCATAAATGTTCTTTGGTTAATTCCTTCACCTTTTACCCCACCCCCACTTTTTTCGGCACCTGTCAATCTGTTCTATATATCTAAGCTTCTCTTACTATCTTGTTTTTTAGTTTATTGTGTTCATCAGATACCACATGTAAGTGAGATCATGTGATATTTTTCTTTCACTGACTGGCTTAATTCACTTCACATAATTTTCTCCAGGTCCCTCCATGCTGTTGCAAAATGTAAGAGTTTTCCATTTTTTACTGGTACATAGTATTCCATTGTTTAAATGTACCACAACTTTTTTATCAACTCATCCACAGATGGGTGCTTAGGCTGTTTCCAAATCTTAGGTATAGTAAATATGGCTGCTATGAATATAAGGTGCATATATTTTTGTATTAGTGTTTTGAGATCTTTCGGGTATATTTCCAGAAATGGAATCTCTGGGTCAAAAGGGAGTTCCATCTTTAATTTTTAAGGGTACTCCATATTGCTTTACATAGTGGCTGCACCAATCTACAATCCCACCAACAGTGCATTAGGGATTCCTGTTCTTCAAATCCTCTCCAATGCTTGTTGTCTGTTGATTTATTGACAGAAATTCTGACCAGTGTGAGGTGATATCTCATTGAGGTTTTAGTTTGCATTTCTCTGCTGGTTAGTGATGTTGAGCATTTTTTCATGTGTCTACAGGCCCTCTCTGTAAGTCCTTTTTGGAGAAGTGTCTATTCAGGTATTTCATCTATTTCTTAATTGGGTTGGTTGTCTTCCTGGCATTGAACTGTATTAGCTCTTTGTAATTTTGGAGATAAAACCCTCTCAGATGTATCATTGGCAAAAATGTCCTCCCATCAATAGGTTCCCTATTCATCCTGTTGATGGTTTCCTTAGCTGTACAAAAGCTTTTAAATTTGATATTATCCCATTTGTTTGTTTTCTGCTTTGTTTCCAATGCCTTAGGATATATATTATCAAAAATATTTCTAGGTTGATTATCTGAGATTTTACTCCCTATGTTTCTTCTAAGATTTTTATGGTTTTACAACTTAACATTTATGTCTTTTTCCA